TTGGCCTTACTACTAGGAGCAAGGATGCTACTAGGGGCTCTTTGGCCTTCCTACTACCAGGAGCAAGGACGCTACTAGGGGCTCTTGGCCTTACAAGGAGCAAGGACGCTACTAGGGGCTCTTGACCTTACTAAGAGCAAGGACGCTACTAGGGGCACTTGGCCTTACTAGGAGCAAGGACACTACTACTATGCCTGTGGCAGTTGCGCTCGACGTTTGCTACCCGAGCGAAGGCACAGAACCAGGATGGACCAATCGGTGCAAAGCGGATGGGCCTTTTGCAGGACAGCTCCAAATCAATTCTAGTGTCAGCGCCGCTGTCAGTGAGCGCTGTTCTTCTTTCAATCCAGGGTGTAAGCGTTCAAGGACCACATCAGCTTGGAAGATGACACACTGAGAGTTGGCTGCACAGTGTGTTTAACTGTCTTCAATTGGTGAAAGGCTGGAAAACAAAGAGTTGGCTGAAAGGATTTGCTAGGTTGCGGCGCCGTCTTGAGCTTCAGGTTGGCGTTGAAATCCTTGAGGCCATCCAAGAGGTTGGGGAGGAGGCTCGCCAAATGTAGATTCATTCGTCACATTCACTAGTTTCAGGTTAATTCCAACGTGAACTTGGATGAAATGGCTGAAAGGCATTGGTGAAGGCGATACAGACAGAAGAGCAAGGCTTCTTGGCTGGCAAGGTGTGTAGTGACCCGACCATCCCGACCATGGCATGAGTCAATCTACATTGAATCGTGTCACTCTATGTGATGTAGTAATTGCATGCCTAAATTGGCTCGTCAATGATTTTGACAGGCTTTGTGCCGCTTGATGATGTAATCCAGCCGTTCGTCACCAAGTTCTGGGATGGAAATCAATGCTTGCGAACAAGAGCAAAAGATGACTGTGGGAAGGACTGTGGATATGCAAATTGTTGTCACTTTAGGCCAATATTATTTCTTATATAACATTCTTATTTTGAACCACTACTCGCGGGAGAGATGTAACTTTACGGGCGTTTTTAGAAATGGGACATGCAGATGAGACAAGACCTTATGAACAGGGAAATCCATGGAAATCAGCTTTAGCAATTGAGATAGGATGTTACTGATAATTCTCTCGTAGGTGTGTCCAGGCCTAAAAAGCAGTCGAAGAGCATATGAGTACACAGTCAACATAACATCTGATGTACTAAGTTGAAACTTACAAAAGTGCGCGCACGCGTTTGCTTGTGCTTTGCTGCTGAGATAGGACTTTATGGTCCCCCAATTCAGATTGCACAGATGAGATAGATTTGCTAAACTCCTGCAAAAATGCCCGCGCCATGTTCCCGGTGATAAGCTCAGAGCACATGAGATAGGAAAAGTGAAATTTCCAATGCGTCCGACTACTCCCATCCCTCTTGGGACCAGTACAGCCAAATGTCTTTGGCGGCCCATCTCCACATTCTTCGAGAATGATCGACTTTGTTGACAAGTCAAGCCAGGCAAGCTTCTTGAATATATTGCCAATGAACTTATTTGTGCTTTTGCTGTTGTACGCCAAGGTACGGGTCCAGTGAACTTCTTTTTCAGCGTCACATCAATCACAGGGTGGCCCCAAGATACAAGTCAAAGGTTTATACACAAGCTCCAGTCAGCTAGTGTAGTTTGTGATCATGATGCAGTCGGCGAGGTATTGTCACAAGTGCGGAAGGAGGCCTGGACAAAGCCCTGCCAATTTGGCTTTGAGCTGCCTGATGCTCGCTGGAATGGAAATGATTGAAATGCAGGTGGACAAGATGCAGTGTAAGATGGTAAAGCAAGATTCTTGGTGACAGACATCCAAAGCGCTTGACAGTCTGAATATATTCTCACTGACACCAGTGTTTTGCGGCACAAACACAAAGGCGAGTGGAGTGGTTGTTGACTGAAGCCGATCAATTGTCAGTGACTCAGAGACGACTTTCCCTGTTTGGGGCAAAAGTCAAAGAGAAAAGCAAGGCTAACCTACTAGCAATTCATAGCAATGGCCTCCAACCTACTAGCGACCCAAGGGTTAGTCCCCTGTTAAATCACAAGTCCTCCTGTTCTAAGGGGCCTCATTAGAAGGGGCCCAAACCACATGAATGGACTCTTACCGAACTCTCAGGGAACGGCAATTCCCCCACGACCACCCGATTTGCAGCCCGGTGTTCTCTGCCGGTGGCGTCAGATTCTCAGGGTTGATGGAAGTTTGGCTTTGCTGTGGTCCATATGGTCCAAGCATGTCCGTCCTAGCATCCAGGTCGACGGCATGCAGTTCATTTTCTATCCGCTGGGATATCGAGACTCGACCGAGGCCATATTTAGCACCCCTTTTTGGACGACGTAGCTCGTTTTTCCGTCTTTTGCACCAGTGACAACAGCGCACACATGCCAGTCTTTGCAAGGGCTTTTGCTCGCTGTTTCTGTACTGTCCATCAGGCCCTAGCCACAGAGGGTGTTGATGTGTTTTGTAGAGACCTCGCATCTGTGGATGTGGAATCAAGGCGTCAATATCAAGTGCAACCTGAATGCTGGAAGCCAAAAGCGAGATGTCGCCTGCCCAAAAGTTCTGCCAATCTTGTTGACAATAGTTCCTGGAGTTTACCGGAGCACGTTGTGACTCTCTTTTTAGAGTTTGCTCGAAAAGTCGAACCACCAAGAATCAGGAATCTCCAGCATTTTGTGATTTTCAAGGCCAGCAACAACTTCAAAGAAGCAGGTGCCTTTGGCCGGTGCAATTTCTGCCGACTCGACAGCGCCATCGACACGGACAGACATGACACTGAATCAAAGTGGCATTTGCAGCATTTGCTGTAGTCACTGTAGTCCAATGATTTGCTCAGGACACAAACACTGCCCTATTGTGGCTTGAAATTGAGGAACTGATACAGGACCTGCAGACACACCTCGCAGTAGGTGCTTTGCAATTTGAGTGGAGCCGTGGAGCGCAAGGAGAGCAAGAAGACCATGGAAGATGAAAAGAGGCGCTCAGTTCCATCCAGCTTTGAACAACTACTCTGGGGTGCCAAAAGTTGCGCTTCTTGACTTCATTTGACTTCTAAAACGGGACAAACCCTTTCCCCTTAGAATCCTACGTGCAACATGTCGACACCTAAGTTGCGGTCAGATTTCCACACCTGAAAGCCTTATTATAAGTACAAAAGATTTAAACGGGTGTGGAAATCTGACCGTGCTGTACCTGCCAGGCAAACTGGACGTGTCGATCCGATCCGCTGTAGAAAGCGTCATGTTGGAACAGCGTAAGAAGTGTAAACTTTAGGGTTCTTGAAGTAATGGCGAGTTTGGTGCCAGGAAAGTGAAGAAACCTCCTGTGCAGAACTCAACAATGTGATGCTCACATGATGCATTTGATTGCAATCACATCATCATGCTGCATGCCAAATCAGGAGTAGTCGAGTGGAACGGAGTCCGAATGGTGCGTTTGTGGAGATTAACTATAATTGATACAAAAGACGTGTGATTTAGGCAGGTTCCAACTTTCCTTCAATTTGAGGCCCTGGAGCTCGAGAGTGCTGCGGGGGACTATGGCATACCGGCATACGGCATACCTTGCTCTGGGAACAGTGTGTCATGAACCAGCTATAGCATTTGGTGCATTACTGGTGTGTCCTGCCACATCCTGGCACTTAGAATTCAATGGCGATTGTCAGCTTAGGCAAAGCTCCGAGAATAGTAAATACTGGGCTTAGGCGCAATTAGCGTCCGCTCAACAACTGAGCATATAGGTGCATCTTTGGTCAGGGCACGTCAGAGTCAATACAGAGTTGGCCGGGCACATTTATGATTTGTGTATGTCTTTCATGGACAAACTTCATATTGAAATAAATAAATAAATATATATATATATATCACGAAAGCCAGCCGGTAGGCAGGGCTTGAGGTTGTGGGAGCGAACGAAGTGAGGGGGCGGGGGGGGGGGGGGGTCGCGAGAGTGCCAATTTTTGGAGAGGTGAACCCAGAGCCTGGTGGGGGAACGAAAAAACGAGGTTGGCCACTTGGTAGTGAAAAATGAGTTGTTTGAGGGGTGTTGTGATGCCGGTGATGTAATTGACGGCGAAGAGTGCATCATCAGCATCACGAGGGGCTCAGCTCAGGAGGCCATGGAAAGAGAATAGATTGTAGTTGCGGCTAAGCTTAGCGTTGCTGCCGGACTGAAGAGGGCACCCCCTATGCGGTGGGAGTTCAAGTGGACTGGGGGTTAGGGCGGGAGAGAGAAGAGACTGCAGCGGGCAAGCGGCTTACTTGCACACTCACGTCGCTCCAATATCAACCGCACCACTTCCGGCTGCTCTTTGTCCACTCTACCTATACACACACATATATATATATATATGTGACCCCACCTACCCTACCCATAGCCTCGCACATGAACCTCCACCGCCGTCTCTGCTCACTGATCCCAGACCTATGTCCTAGTTTCCATTTCTAACCCCTATCAGTGTGGCTGCGATGTCAACTTCACCCCATGAAATTAATCTTTGCCCGATGTTACCACATCACTTCCTGTTGCACGCCAAGTCTTTGCCCGGGCCTATCCTGAGAGGCACCCCCTAAGCCAGAGGCTGGCTTTCGTCCCCTCCCTTCTCAGGTATATATACGTATAAGTCCATGGTCACAGCCGTTGGAGGGTAGGACAGTGCTTGGGGCGGGGCTTTTGGCAGCCAAGGTATAATGCAGTACAAGGAAGAAAGCAAGAAAGAAAAAAAGGTCAAAAGGTGCTGTTTCCCTAAACATCTAGGAGCCAAATCAATGTTGCGATGGGTTGGTTCTTTTGCATCCCAGTAATGAGTGGTTTTCTTGCTACTAGGAGATTACTTAAGCTACCTATGGGCCGTCTTCTCACGGTCTACCTCCCTGAGAAAGTAGAACAAGACAATGAGAACAAACAGGATACACATTAGGCCATCGCTCGTAGGTTGGAGGCCATTAGCTTTGAGATTGAAATAGGAATGTTCCGTCCAAGGCCCCTGGCCCTGCAGGGAGCGTGACCAGCTCAGCTTTTGACAAGTTGTTCCACTCGGTTCCACTGGCATGTGAGAATCACTTGATGGAGCATCATGTAGCTGATTGAAGAACATCAGAGATCTATATAGTTTGTGTATGTTTGTGCTTATTTGGTGGGATAGAGGAAATGCTTTGAGTGTATGATCAGTTTGCTCAATTTTGATGATAGATTAATCGATTCAGGTCAAGTTGGTGCGAATCGCCAACACCGACTATTTGACGGAGGTATATAGATTCCGCATAGCTAAATCATGCTTGGCAAAGTTACTGGCAAGATGTAAGCGCAAGCAGGTCAGAAGATTACCAGCAATGTGGACGGATCAAAAGTCATTTGGCAGAGTAAGTGATGATTCACAGGATGATTGATTGAATGAATGAACTGAGTTTGAGAGACAGAAAAAAGAAGGTGGACTTGGACTTGACCCATTTGAAGGAAGGCTTTATTAAAGAGGCTCAAGTCCACCACCTTTTTTCTGTCTCTCAATTTTTTGTTGATTTTGGAACCAAGGCTGGGAGACTTCGTGAAGAAGCCGGCGAAGCTGGCTCCTTTATTGCTTGTTTGGAAGCTGGCGCCAGCTTCGCTTCGCTCCTCACATCATTTGTTTGTTCCACGCCAGGAGGGTTATCGCAACTTCAAAGAGTTGGTTGGACGACAAAGGGCTCCAACTCATACAGGCACTGTATTGCGTTCTAGGTGGGGATGAAAAAAGCGAAGTGATCTTGATATGCTTGATGAAGGAAAGCTGGTTGATGGAGGTGCTGCAAGCGTGGGCGGTGCTACTGGACGAGGCTGAGGGTCGAGCTTCCGGTCTACACACTTTCGTTATTCATGTCAGAAGGATGAAGCGCGTTCATGGAACCGCCGCGAAGCAGATAAAATCATCCTTGCCAAGGGGGGAAGTCACAGGCCCGAGAAAATTGAAAAAGAGCGGCGTTTTTGGAAAGCAGAGGAAGATATGGGGCAACATCTTCGGAATGTGGGTTCCATTGGGGTCCAAGTGGACACAGACAGGAGCAATAATGCAAAGCATATCACTTATCACTTTTTAGGGTTTTTGCACTTGCATAAAATCGGATATGTTGGAAGTGCCGGGGCAACATCTTCGGAACATAGCTCATTTCGGAGCCAATTTGGCCCCCCCACTTGGCTGGGGCTGCAGTTGGGCCCAACATGTTCGACTTGGGTGCGGTTGGGTTCAACTTGGGTTTAATTTGACGCTAACATCGATTCAACACTGGGAACATGGACCCGGAAATGTGTTCCATCGACGCTAATCTTGCAGCATGTTGGGTTCAATCGGGGTCAAAGGGGGTGTTTGGCAGTCACAGAGGCGGCTTCTGAAAAAGGCCCTCCCCAGCTACGCTAACTGAGCAGTACACTACGTGCTGTTGGAGCGTTCCTGCGACACAAAGTGATTACGCCCTTCAGCACCTGTGGCGCGGCGGATTTGGCGTTTTCGTGATTTCTTTTGATGTGTTGTTTTATCCGCTGGTTTAATTTTTCCTTGTGGACATCAACTTGCACTGGTGTTGCTGTCAGGAGCTCCAAGTACTATGACCACAGCTCGTCAGCCAGACACTGTCTGCTGCTGAGGATAGGATGTTGGTCCATTTGAGAGTTCGGGTCGGACAATTCATTTTGCAACCGACCGTGTCAACCAATTTGCCAATACCGTAGCTTACTCATACGTACTGGGCGTGGCCGTATTTGCCACCCACAGTCCCGCTGCAAAGCAACGCTCAGCATGACATTTGCTTGCAATGTGTTCAGCAAGGTGCGCTCCGAATCGATGCCAGTTTTGCGCTCTGACAGAGGCATTCTTCTACGTACTAGGAACCCGCGCATCGTACTAGGAGCAAGGACGCTACTAGTAGCTCCTGCCCCTACTACTAGGAGCAAGCAGGAAGTTGGAGTTCTCATAGCCGCAAAGTCTCCATTCCGACAGGTCTGGCTATGGATTTGACTGCCCCAGGTTCACGTTGCCGATGTCCAATTGTGCAAGTGTTGTTTGAGACAATGACAGAAACTCTTGTTGCCGCATATTCGCAGGTCCAGATGCGCTACCTTTGCTTTGCGGGCCTCATGGTGAGTTTGGCAGTGCTTGCATCTGAGCGCTTGTGAACTGTGAGAGCTGCATAGAGCTGTTTGTGGAGTTTTCTCTAAGCTCAGGACCAAGGGTATGGTTCTCCGTTGCTTTGGGCAGGGAAGTCCCGGAAGGAGACTTGATGGTTTCGAAAAAATGGAAAATTCATGGAGTTGGAGTGCATGGCATACTCATTTTGGATAACAGTTTGGTACGTTATGTGCAGGCAAGAAGTGCCAATGGCTGAGACACACAAAGAGCCCAACCGTTCTCCCTACGTATCTACTTAATGCTCATTGCTTTTGCCAATATTTTCCACTATGCGTTCCATAGTAGGATGCTGATTTGGAAAGGGGAGCTGTCAGAGTAGCATGACGCATGAACGTCGGCACTAAGTCCACGAGCTTTCGCCAGCGCTTCTGAGAGACACGACTTGGCCAACGCCAAGCAACGCAACGCACCAAGCAGTGCCAAGCAGTCTCACCAAAGAATGTCACATCGTGTCACCCACATCGCCCCAAGAAAGATCCGGAGAGTTTGCAGAGCATCAGATCAGCCCTTGTGAATCTTGCAAAGATGTGCCCGTGCAACAGCTCAAACTCTGCATGTTTGGTCATAAACTAGTCATCCACCTACTGCAGCTTTGGGTCATGCAAACGGGATACCGCGCCGTCCAGAGGCACGGCCAAGTCAAACAAATCCTTTAGTCTGGCAGCCCAAGCAAAAGGTGTGGCTCGATGGCCGGCAGAGAGGTGGAGCCGGCAAGAGGAGGTGCGCTGCGGAGCATCCCAAGGTGTGGACATGGAAAGGGATATGGGGCAGAAGGAAAAGCCTGAAGAGCACAATTATGTGGTAACAACCTGAGCAAACAAAGCGAAAACAAAGTATTTAATAACCTGAATAGAGTTCCGACCTGTTCGTTGCGCATCCTCCTTTGCCAGACCATTGGTAAGAGGACAGCGATCCTTTGCACGGCTCTAAGCATGCTAAGGAGCACCTAGTAGCTTCTTGTTCCTAGTAGTAAGGCCAGGAGCCCCTAGTAGCGTCAATGCTCCTAGTAGCGATGCCAGGAGCCCCTAGTAGCGTCCTTGTTACTAGACACTGGGTTTTGTTGGTTTGAAAATTTCAGAGTATCTCAAGCGGCCTTAGCGGCGCGTTGTTGAGGTTCCATCTTTGTCCTTAGCGGCGCTGCTGAGTGCTTGTCCCTTATAACTCTTGATATCTCTTGATATCTCTTGATTGTGTTACAGGTTTTGTGTTTGAGATTATATATCTAAATCTTCAAAGGTCTTGTACACTTGGGCTTCTCCGACTTCATGGGTATCAAGGCACGCGGCATCAAATGAGGCCAAGCTATAGGTTTTGCACTGGATGGTCTAACTGCTAAATTTGCTCAGCCTCAAGCTTCTTGTTCCTAGTAGTAAGGCCAGGAGGTGCTAGTAGCGTCCTTGCTCCTAGTAGTGATGCACGGGTTCCTAGCAGCGTCCTTGTTCCTAGTAGTAAGGCCAGGAGCTCCTACTAGAAACGGTCATTGACAGTCCTGGGACGAAGGCCGTGGAAGCCACAAGTGAAGAGGTGCCCGTTGAATACCGCTGATATTCGCTGACGTGGAGTCGGAGTTTGTCATATGTTGTCACGGATATATATCAAGTATGGTGATATTCGTGTGATACTTGTGTATCAGTTTGATTGTGGCTTTCAGGCCAAGAAGCATTTGCTTGGCAGTGCAGCCTTTGGCAGCTGAGATGTCGGAGGTTTCGCAGCTGCCGCGCCATACGAATGGCGTATCCAACATAGTAGTGTCCTTGCTCTGTTCGTAGCGATGCCCTTTGTTCCTAGTAGCGTCCTCTTGTTCCTAGTAGTAAGGCCAGGAGCCCCTAGTAGCGTCCTTGCTCCTAGTGTTTGCTGCGTTTCTTCCTGACAAATGCCCCCCACCCTCCCTTCTTGGTGTTTGTAGGTGTTCAAGCGCTGCGTAGAAGACTATTCTCCTAACGATCCCAACGAGGATTTTCACGAGGGGTCGGTGTCTTAGTTTGGTTTGAAACATTGTTCTCTGTCGAGACCAGCAGAATTTGAGGCCACCTCCAACTGGTTTCAGAAACCTGACAGAGTGCATACGGCCGTGGTCTTTGCTATATAAGTTAGTGTTGCTTCGAGAGCTTCAGACAGTTGTGTCAATGCAAGTTGGTCGTGTTGCTTCCCACCTTCTTCTTGTGTAGACAGTTCAAATTTATGTGTAATGAAATGCCTCAAATTGGTTGTTCTTTTTGTCGAAGGCCGTACCACCCAAATCCTCAGTGGCAGCTTTTTCCTGGAGGTGTCTTGCTTGCACCAAGGATGTTATGAAGTCTTGTGCATCTGTGTATGTTTGCAAAGTTGCTGAAACCAAGAAGTGGGAAGCTTCGAGCGGGATCAGAAGATTTGCTCCATGTGCGCCTCAATGTCTAGCGGTGCAACCTTTGCTCACATCTCTCTTTGCCAGGTACACATTAGCCACAGGTTTATTCAGAGACATTAACGCATGCATCAGAAACGACAATGAAGACGGATTGCGACGCTTAGCCTCGCTCTTGGACATCCTCCTTTATCAAGATCTTATGCCAAACTTTCCGGGGAACTGAAGTGCAAACATGAAACTCGTGAGGCTCCCATGATCTGGGAAATTAGAGAGGTGCCATCGTTGCTTGACCAGTCCATGCGACAACTCTTCAAGTCAGAGTTGCAGGTCTTGCGTTTCGAGACGGCCAAGATTTGCAAGCCAGATGGGCGCAAGTGCCATTCTGAGTTCAGTGGGAGCTGAAGCCTGCCAAGTGAATCAGTAAGAAATGCTGCCGTTTGCCATCAGGTGCAAGCCCTTTATGGGAAAGTGCTTGCGTGGCCTCGAGGCATTGACCAATCAGAGCTAAAAGATGCTAAAAGCACATGACCATGTTTGCATTTAAAAGCAAATGCTGGGCCATGACCAGCTGTGCAGGTCCCAGAAAAAGAGGTAGAAAAGTGGGCCGCCCTTTACAAGGCCGGACACTCAAATACACAACTGGCAGTATTTGCTTCAGCACTTGGCCAAGGCCGGAACTGAATTCGTTTGGCCGGCCTTTACCTCCTGTCAGCTGGAAGACGGAGGCAATGCCCCGCATGGACAAGTAGAAGACAATTAGATGGGTTTACTATAATGGTTTGCTTGTATGAATATGTAACATGTACAAACATTTATTTGACCTGGCTGCCAGGTTTGTGGCCCTTTGACGGAAACCTGAACTTTGAGATTGAGCGCCCAATCTTACAAGCACTGAGCGCAAGCTTTTAAAGTTCGAGAACACAAGCTTTTGAGTATGCCTATGCTGGACCCAGGTGCAACATTGATCCCAGCAAACTTGACACCCCTGAAGTGTTTGCACCTCTTAGCATAAAGCGTTTCATCGGTGGGCCGACTCCTCAGTTTTGCCTGGCCACCATGTCATAGCACGCCTGCAAGTGATTATTGTTGCAAAGCGAAGCAGACTGGATCAATTGCAGGTCCAATGAAGTGCTTTTTCCTCCGCAGACCAAGTTCAGAGTCAAGGAGGAGGGAAACTCGAATTGTGGAATCTGTATTGGATGCCTTTTGTATGACAGCAATTCCCCACCTGCCAGGTGAGGGTTGTTAGATTTTATCAGAGCTCCTCGCCTCCTCGCCTCCTCTCCTCTCTCCCCTCTCCCCTCGCCCCTCTCCCCTCTCCCCTCTCCCCTCTCC